TGGCCCCTCTCATCCCCCCGCAGCACTACTGGCATCCCTCCTCTCCTGCTGGCTGCTGTGGGGGATATGTCAGAATGGAGAGAGGAGGAAGAGGACATTAAAGTGGTTGTAAAGGCTAAGGTTTTTTTTTTACCTTCATGCATTCTATGCCCCCTCTCAATCCAGCAAAGTAATTCTGTTACACTGCAAATCGCAGCTTTGCTCTCAGGAGAAATTGCACTGTGGAAATGTTTCCAAACTCTAGATCAGGGTTTTTTTTTACCATTTTTACCTTCGAGAAACCCTGGCAAAAAGTTAAAGATCTTGGGGAACCCCTGAAATAATTTTCATATGTACAGCTCACAAAACATTGGTGTGATCAGCGAGCTGTAGGTATAGCAATTATTCTTAGAAAGAACAAATTTTAGAAAGGATAAATTTTAAAATGTACCTTAAGCTTAAATTTGACATTTGTAATTGCTTTCTTTTGCACAGATGCTCAGTTTTGGGTCAAATTGAGATAAGCAGTGTACAGGAGGTCAGCGGGGCAGAGCACAGGGGATCCAGGAGGGAACAGTGCAGGGGGGCCAGGAGAGAACAGTATAGAGGGCCAGGAGAGAGCTGTATGGGAAAGGCGGGGGGGCAGGAGGGAACAGTAAAGGAGGGCAAGAGGAGCACAACATAGTCCAATCTCCCTGTATGATTTTCTATGAAACTGCAAGCCACTTCTCCTCCTCTCCCTCCTGTGGATTTCAGCTGCTTCATTGAAAGCCATACAGGGAGATCGATGCTTGTAACTGCCCCCACCGCAGTATCGATCACCACCAGCCAGGGGCGGACTGACCATTTCGAAACTCGGGCGCTGCCCGAGGGCCGTAGTCAGTAGGGGGCCCCATGAGATGCCCCTGGTACCTTTTTCATAGGCATTTTTGAGTTTGGGCAAGGACACGGGCCCCATGATCACCTATTGTCCGGGGGCCCCATGAGTTGTCAGTCCGCCCCTGCCACCAACTGTCCATCAGATTTACCTTCCTTTCTGCCTCTCAGCGACTGGGCCTTGACACTGAGTGGCCGCATATTTATGTACTATTTGTAAACAAACATGTGCTTAGAGCGCGTGCATTGCGCGCTCCCAGCACAGGTGTCCCACAAAAAGGTCCCGATCTCTCCTTGTGATCAGGACTTTAACGCCACACCTCCCGACATCAGAAACCCCTTAACCACTTGCCTACTGGACACTTATGCCCCCTTAATGCCCACACCAGCTTTCAGCACTGCCGCAGTTTGAATGACAATTGTGCGGTCATGCAGCATTGTACCCATATGACATTTTTATCATTTTTATTTTTACACAAACAGAGCTTTCTTATGGTGGTATTTAATTGCCACTGGGTTTTTTCATCTTTGCACTATAAACAAAAAAAAGCAAAAAATTTAAAAAAAAAATTTCTTTGATTCTGTTATAAAATTTTGCAAACAGGTAATTTTTCTCCTTCACTGATGTGCGTTAATGATGCTGCATTGATAGGCATCACTGATGGGCACTGATGAGGTGGCACGGATAGGCAGCACTGGTGGGCACTGATAGGCTGCACTGATGAGGCGGCACTGGGGGGCATTGATGAGGAGGCACTGATGATGTTGCACTGATATGCAGCAATGATGGTCACTGATAGGCTGTACTAATGGGAACTGATAGGTGGCACTGATGGGTGACACTGACTGTTGGCACTGACTGGCAGCACTGATGGGTGGCACTGCTGGGGGGGCACTGATGGGTGGCACTGCTGGGCACTGATGCGTGGCACTGATGCGTGGCACTGCTGGCCACTGGTGGGAGGCACTGCTGGGTGATACTGGTGGGCGTCACTGCTGGGCGACACTGGTGGGTGGCACTGCTGGGTGATACTGCAGAGCACTGATCATCATTCATCATCACAGAACTTTCCTCACGCTGAAAGTGATGCCGATAACCAGCAACTGTATTTACTCCTTGATCTGCTGTGTCATTGGACACAGCTGATCACGTGGTAAAGGCTGCTGTTATTGGCCTTTTACCTCATCAAGTGATCAGCTGGGTCCGTAGGACACAGCGATCTTGGAGATCACCAGGTGCACGCCCTGGAGGTGTGCAGGAGGGTGAGTTCTGGGAGGATGACACTCTCGCAGAACTGGGTAAACGCGCTGTAGCTGTCATTCGACTGTAGCACGGTTACCAAGTGGTTAGAGGGCCGGGAGTTGCCAGCGTGAAGGGGTAAAGTTCTTCATGTTTTTTAGTTTGAATACTACGTAATAGATATATTATTTAAAATAATAATTATTTTAAAAGAACATATTCCACACTTCTTTTTTACATTTTTTTTCCACTTTTTAGAAACATTTTTGGCTTTTTTTTTTTTTTTGCAGGCCTTCCAATCTCTACTCTTGGTGCAAGGTAGGCTCAGGTTTTATTTAACTGTAAGCCTTAAAAGTTCTGCTGTTATCACAATATGGCCATACTTACCATTAGGTGTGCCACAGTTAGCCCCAACCATGCCTCACCCCTAATAAAAGTAGGCATAGTTCAGATGTCCCTGACTTTCCTTTTGCAAATCTGGTCATCATTCCGTAGACTTAACAAGAATTGAACCCTTTCAGTTGAGGAAGGGAAGAGAAAAATGGAAGGGCTCCACTGCAAGGGCAAATTCCTGGAGTATCTAAAAACATGCATTTAATATTGCCTGGTTCTTTTCCTGGTGTAAATTTTTTTATATTAGAAATGTTTGTTCTTATTGCAAATGTTCTTATTTTGACAGCAATCTGATCGTACCTGACAATCATTTTATGCTCACGAATCTTTGCATAAGGACAATCAAAGCACAATGTACCCTGACACTTAGTAACCAAGCTACTGAAACACATTTTCTGCAGAATTCCACAATGAACAAGTACTCATAAGTCTGACAGATGTAACTAGAGAGGGAATGCCGTCTGTGAGATCAAGTCTTATATTTCAACACTGCTCAATTCTCTGTCATGCCAAGATGATTTTATTATAGCTAGTAAAATAGAAAACTAGTTGTAAAGTGGTATATTTAGATTGTTACTGCTGGTTACTAGGTTAGTTCAGCTCAAGATGGAGAATGAATCAAGTTCTATGTTATTTAGTTAACACCATTACTTCAATTTTGAACAGTGACTGATATTTCAGTAGGCAAATGCAGCCCAGTAATTCACCCAATGAATATTAGTCTACTCACTCTAAGATCTGTATTCTAGTTACTCCAGTCCTGAATGTAAATGTAATATATATATATATATATATATATATCTATATATTTGGGGGGGGGTTTAGTTTTTTTTTAACCAGGAGATATTTGCTGTCTATGAAAAACAAGCAATAATAACTCTTTCTCCTGGCAACCCATAGAGAATAGCTGTCTATATAGAGAAGAAAGTGGCTTTTTTGTCAGCCAGGACAAAACATAACTTGGGATGACCTTATACAAACACATGTAAAACATGCATCCACTTACTGTACACCAAAAGGATATTAAAGAGCAGCTCATCATATAAAGGCACAAGGTCACATCAGAGCATCATGTCCTGTAATAAAAGTCACGGCTCCTTGATTTTATTTGCTGCCAGATGCCTCCTATGACCTCTAAAGTCTCTATGTGATTTCTAGCAGAGACTTTGGATTCTCAGATTAAATATAACAAGCACTGTTGAAAAATATAAGAATGAAAGTACATTCTTTAAGGCAGTCAATAATTCAAATGGGAATATCGATTACCTGGTGAAAAGTGTTCCAGCAGCAAAATTCTCTTTCAAACACACTTCCCAAACACATACACATGCACCTTCTGGATTTCCCAGTTAAAGCAGTATTAAAGTGATATTAAAGGGTTATTTTAAAATAACAAACATGTCATAATTACCTGCTCTGTGCAATGGTTTTGCACACAGCAGCCCTGATCCTCCTCTTCTCGGGTCCCCCGCAGGCACTTCTGGCTCCTCCCTCTTCACCAGTGTCCCCAATAGCAAGCTGCTTGCTATGGGGGCACTAGTTCAAGCTTGCTCCTGAGTGTCCTAAGACACACACAACTGTGGCTCAGCCCTGCCCTCCCCTGCACTCTCCTCATTGGCTCACTGGCTGTGGTTGATAGCAGTGGGAGCCAATGGCTTCTGCTACTGTGTCTCAGCCAATGAGGGGAGGGAGACCTGGGGACAGCCGAGGCTCCCGTGCGCATCGCTGGATCGAGAGGGGGCTCAGGTGAATATTGGGAGCTGTGGAAGGAACAGCACACAGAAGGTTTGTCACCTTCATGCATAGAATGCATGAAAGTAAAAAACCTTCAGTCTTTACAAACACTTTAAACCCAAAAGAAAACATTTATTATTATGGAGCTTCCCGATTCTTAGATGTGATAGATGCATTTGTTAGGCTTTATTTTCCTTATTTTCACCCGGTTAGTCAGTCTATTCTTTTTTGAAAAGAACAAGCTTTTTTGCAGATGTAGAGGGCTGCGTCAAACCATTTACCATGGACGGGTGCTTACAATGATCAGCTTATACTTATTTATGTATAAATTTATCCCAAAAAGGAAAAAAAGAGTTAATCTAACTCTCCCCTTCTCCCAGACTGACAATGAAGCAGCCCAACCCCTGAAAAACAACTCCACACCATAATCCCCCCTTCACCAAACTTTACACTTGGCACAATGCAGTCAGGCAAGTACCGTTCTCATGGCAACCGCCAAACCCAGACACATCCATCGGAATGCCACATAGAGAAGTCTGATTCATCACTACAGTCCAATGTTGACGTGCTTTAACTAGCTGCCGACCGCAGATAGCCGAATGACGGCTGCACTGCGGCCGACCAGTTCTGAGTGGACGTCATATGACGTCCTCCCAGAACGCGCTCTCCTGCGCACCCCAGGGGGCGCGCACCCGGCGATCTCCGTGATCGCTGTGTCCTACGGACACAGCTGATCACGTAATGTGGTAAAAGGCCAATCACAGCGGCCTTTTACTACGTGATCAGCGGTGTCCAATGACACGCTGATCAGAGGGAAATGCAAGTGCCGGTCCTCGGCTGCACTTTCCTCACGCTGTCAGATCGTGAGGAAAGTACTGCCGAGAACCGGCAGTTGTCAAAGCGGGGATCGGCACCGATCATCAGGGCACTGATGATCAGTGCCCTGATGATCGGTGCCCAGCAGTGCCACCCGCAAGTTCCGCCCACCTGTGCCCAGCAGTGCGCCCACTAGCTCCACCCACCTGTGCCCAGCAGTGCACCCACCTGTGCCCAGCAGTGCACCCACCTGTGCCCAGAAGTGCCACCTACCTGTGCCCAGCAGTGCGCCCACTAGCTCCGCCCACCTGTGCCCAGCAGATCACCCACCTGTGCCCAGCAGTGCACCCACCTGTGCCCACCCACCTGTGCCCACCAGTGCCACCCACCTGTGCCCACCCACCAGTGCTGCCCACCAGTGCCACCCACCAGTGCAGCCCAGCAGTGCTGCCAGTCAGTGCCACCAGTCAGTGCCCAGCGGTTGTACCAGTCAGTGCCCAGCAGTGATGCCAGTCAGTGCCGTCTATCAGTACCCATCATCAGTGTCACCTATCAGTGCCGCCTATCAGTGCTGCATATCAGTGCCGCCTATCCGTGACACCTCATTAGTGCTGTCTATCAGTGCCGCCTATCCGTGCCACCTCATTAGTACTGCCTATCAGTGCCCTTTAGTGCTGCCTATCAGTGCCCATCAGTGCCGCCTATCAGTTCCCATCAGTGCTGCCTCATCAACGCACATCAGTGAAGGAGAAAAATTACCTGTTTGAAAAATTTTATAATAGAAACAAAGAAACTTTTTTTTTTCAAATTTTTTTGCACTTTTTTTATTTATAGTGCAAAAAGTAAAGCGCCCAGTGGCGATTAAATACCACCAAAAGAAAGCTCTATTTGTGAGAAAAAAATGATCAAAATTTCATATGGGTACAATGTTGCATGACCGCGCAATTGTCAATCGAAGTGCGGCAGCGCTGAAAGCTGAAAATTGGCCTGGTAAATAAGGGGGTATAAGTGCCTGGTAGGCAAGTGGTTAAGCAACTGCATCTGATGATTTGCATTGCACTTGGTGATGTAAGGCTTGGATGCAGCTGCTCGGCCATAGAAACCCATTCCATGATGCTCTCTACGCACTGTTGTGCTAATCTGAAGGGCACACAAAGTTTGGAGGTCTTTAGCTATTGACTCTGCAGACAGTTGGCGACTTCTGTGCACTGTGCGCTTCAGCATGCGCTGACCCCGTTCTGTCATTTTACGGGGCCTACCAGTTCATGACTGAGTTGCTGTTATTCCCAGTTGCTTCCACTTTGTTACATTACCACTAACAGTTGACTGGGAATATTTAGTAGTGAGGAAATTTCACGGATGGACTTATTACACAGGTGGCAACCTATCACGGTTCCACGCTTGAATTCACTGAGCTCCTGAGAGCGACCCATTCTTTCACAAATGTTTGTAGAAGCAGTCTGCATGCCTAGGTGCTTGATTTTATAAACCTGTGGCCATGGAGGTGATTGGAACACCTGAATCCAATGATTTGGAGGGGTGTCCCAATACGTTTGGCAATATAGTGTATATGTGTCAGGGATCTCGGCCGCTCATGGGTGCACGCATGCGCAGATCACCGATGCGCACTACCCGGCAAGCGCTGGGACTTAGGCGATCACGGCGGTGGCTGCGCATGCGCATTCGCGATCGCGGACGCGCACCTGTCACCAATGGGAGCACAGGGCGCCCTATTTAAACCAACCCTGTGCATCTCCAAATCGCCTTATGGTCTTGTTCCTGTGTTCCTGATTGCACTGTACTTCTGACTGCCTTCTTGCCGACCCAGCCTGATCCTGATACTGTTGTCCTCTCCTGCTCTGACACTTGGCTCGTCCTGACCATTCTCTGCCTGATCCTATTGCCTGACCTCCTGTTGCTGAACCCGGCCTGTGACCTGATCATTCTTTCCTGCCGCTCTGTACTGTCTGCTCCGCTGTTACCAACCCGGCCTGTCTGACAACGTTATACCTCTTCACATCTGGCTCTTACCTGCTTTACACCAGTGGAGGCTGCCTTTACCACAGCTGGTGTTACTCAGGGGTCGCGACCTGGTCTCAGGCTGCTTCAAATCCATCCCCACCATCAGGGGCTCTGGTGAACCAGCAGACTGAGGCTTAGACTCCGTGCCCTGAGGGACTCTGGCCTGTGGGTCGCTAGAGGCTACCATCAGTCGGCTCGTGACAATATGTATATGAGTCATAATTTCTAAACAGAACTTGAATGAACATAGGAACTACAGTCATCATTACTGAACCACTTGAAGACCAGCATGTTAAACCCCCCTTTTGCCCTGGCCATCTTTCAGTTTTCAGTGCTGTCACACTTTGAATGACAATTACTCAATGATAATTAAATGACAAATCATACAACACTGTGCCCACATGAATTGTATATCTTTTTTTTTAGAAATTTAATCACTACTAGGATTTTTATTTTTTGCTATATAAAGGTCATTTTGGGGAAATAAACATTTTTTTCTGTTATAAAACTTTAGAGGTAAAAAATCTTTCTTCATTACTTTAGGCCAAAATGTATTCTGCTACATTTCTTTGGTGAAAAGAAAAAAAAAAAGTGTATATTATTTAGTCTGTGTGAAAGTTATACAGTCTATAAACCATGGTATATATATTTGAAAATCAATCAGTCCCGATGTTCTGACTGCCTATTTCATTTCTCCAGGCCCTAATATGCCAGGACAGTACAAATACTCCCAAAATAACCATTTTTCGGAAAGCAGAAAGTACAGTATTTAGTATGGCCTGGAGAGTTTTTTTAAGTAATCTTTTGTCACTGTTTGGAAAATGAAGAAATTAAATAAATTGTATATGTGTGTATATGTGTTTTTTGTTAATACAAAGTTGTCATTTTATAATTGCACCACAAAACACATTCTGCTACTCTTTCTGAGTATGGGGCTTTTTTTGACACTGCACTTGCTCTGGTGACAGTATGTAAAAAACTATTTTTACATACTGTTACCAGAGCCATGCAGTGTCACTAAGGTGACATTGAATTGCTGTGGCTATTGATCAGTGTCATCAGTGTGGTCAGCCAGTGTCTCTGATCACCAAACAGAGCAGTACAATGAACTGCACTGCTTAAAGTGGTTGTAAACCTCAGACATGAAATATGAACAAAGCAAATCCCTCTATAGTGTATACTTGCCTCAATCCAGAGCACTAAGTATCATTTCTGTCCGATGCCTGGTTCCTATGCTATACAGTAAGCATGAGTCACTTCTGACAAATTTTCCTGAGACCAAGAAAAAATGGTGACACAGACAAAAGAAAAAAAGTAACAACAGGGGTAGTAACCAACAGGAGGACATGTGGGTATGCTCTCTCCCTATTCCAGGAGGCTCACGTCCATCTGTTTATATATAGTGGCTGGGTGGGAGGTGGTAAAAAAATGTCAATTTCTTAGGGATACATAATGTATATTGCAGCTTTTTTAACAATGGGAAAACCTGTTTTGGTGACTAATTTCCAATAGGAAAGATCTCCTTCTATATTCTGATGTGTTTGTAGAGCAGGGAGTGAAGGAAGCTCTCCCTAATGGGATACAAAAGACAAAAAATAACAACAGTGGTTGTAACCACGCACAAAATTCTGATGATTTCATTTCTCTGTCACTCTGCTTTCTCTTCTCATCAGTATGCCCTTTGCACTGCAAGACAAGTGATTGGCTCCTTATGCTGTTTCTCCTTTCCCTTCTCTGAGTTATGTTGTTCAGGAATTGCAAGGGACTGAGAGCAAGTAATATTGCTGATAGGCAAGGGGGACATTTATGACAGAGGAGACCTCTAGAGTCTCTTTTGTTAATCCTTCCTGTCAGTGTTTTTTTAAAACTTTGACTTCACTACCTCTTTAACCATTTCCCGACCGCCCTATAGCAGAAATACTGCTACAGAACGGCAGGGCTGCGCAAAATCACGTATGTATAATATATATATATATATATATGTGTGTGATTTTTGTATTTCTGGGTAGGGGGCCCTACCCTCGCTGCCATTGGTGGCCTCAGCTGTCAATCACCAGGTCCCGGCTGGTGATTCCCTGCCGGCACCTGGTGATCGCCGAGTATCACTGGCGGGAGAGAGGTCTGTATGTTAACAATACAGATCTCTACCCTCTCAGCTCCTGCACACTGCTTTGGCTCAAATGGCTCAAAGCATACAAAGCAGTGTGCTTACATAGTAAAGCATACACACCACATAGTACAACAGCACACAGTTAACCTTTTGATCGCCCCATATGTTAACCACTTCCTGCCCAGTGTCATTAGTACAGTGTCAGTGCTTTTAAGTGTCAGAATGCCCACCGCAGTCCCACAGTTCTGCTATAAGTCGCTGATCACTGCTATTACTAGTATTAAAAAAAAATCCAGTATATATACCACCATTTGTAGACGCTATAACTTGCACGTAAACCAATTAATTTTTTTTTTAGCAGAATACATTTTGGCCTCTATTTATGATGAAATTTGCTTTTTTAAATGTTTTTACTGGACATGTTTAATAGCATAAGTAAAAATTTATTTTTTTTGTCAAAAATTGTTGGTCTTTTTTTGTTTATATAGCGCACAAAATAAAAACTGCAGAGGTGATCAAATACCACTGAAAGAAAGCTCTATTCATGGGGAAAAATAGAACATAAAATGTAATTTGTGTGCAGCATTGCATGACCGCGCGCAATTGTCAGTTAAAGTAACGCAGCGCCGTATCACAAAAAATGGCCTGGTCAGGAAGGGGGGTAAATCCTCTGGAGGGCAAGCAGTGCATTACAAAACAAAAATATAATAAGTTCTTTAAATGAAAGTACCAGTTTATTCTTTAAGAAATGACCACCCATTCATAATAACCTACTTACATGCAGAGATGACTTTACCAAACGTCTTGATCTTGTCCAAGAATGTGAGATGATTGTGATCTAGTTATTATAAAGATCTCTACCTGAATGTTACATTTCATATTAATATCTTCAATGGAATCAGCTCCTCTGAGGCATGGGAAAGGCCCCTGAGAGCAATTAGCATGACAGCAATTTTCAAAATGTCCATTAGAGAAAACCTGCAAAAGGCCATTGCTTTAGGATATCCATGCTTGACTGTACAGAGAAAGAGCTAATTAACATGAAGAAAATACTGGCTTAATTCTTCTTCAACTGTAATCTAATTCTTGTATCTTAAATACCTTTTTATAAATATCTTTCTTCAAAGAAATCCAGGAAGAAAGGCTACAGTCTGGTGTTGTATGCTAAATTGAACTGCTAGACAACAGCT